CCTGACCTCAGGCCAATCCACCCGCTTCAGTCTCCCAAAGTGCTGGGATTACAGGCGTGAGCCACCATGCCTGGACCAATCCCAGAGTATTGTTTCTATTCATTGATGAGCAGGACTTAAAGCCCCACAGGTGGCCAGCATCATTAACAGGACCTAGGGACTAAGCCCCAGTCTTCCTCCCTCTCTGGGAGTCCCTGGGCACAAGCTGTCACCTCTCTGCTCTGAGATGGGAACAGATGATCTGCAGGATCCCTCTGATGCTGAGAATCAATGCAGCTACAGAACACAGGAAGGAACTATGGATCCCCTAGAAGATTTACATGTTGACCCACTCACCAAATTTTGCTTCATGCAGAAGTCAGACACCCTGGTTTTCAGTTTCCAGAACATATTGGTTTCAACAAAGAAAAGCAGGATGATGTACACAGGTCCTGAAATAGCCAGAGCTGTGAGGTACTTCCCCATACCTAGTGACTCTCAGGCATAGGTGTTCTTTTGGACCACATATCCTTTTGCTAAAATAGGACAAATAGATGTTATTAAACTCTGGGTGATCTTCAAGGCTATTCTTCACCTTTACATATAGTAGGTGCAGTCCTCTTATAACAAATATTATTTAAAGGAAGCATTACTGTCATCAGTACTATAACCACATCCTAGCAAATGGTAAACAAGAGTAATATTTTGTTTCCCTTGCTATAACCAATGTTCTATAAAAATAATGTAATAAAAGACTTCTTTCATGTTGTATACAATAAATATATTCATTTTTTTCTTTGTTAAGTAAAAAATGAAGTAAATAAAAGGGTTCTCCCTATCCATATCACAGCTATTTGAAACACAAAATATTTACATGTTTGGGCCGGGCGCAGTGGCTCACACCTGTAATCCCAGCACTTTGGGAGGCTGATGCGGGTGGATCACGAGGTCAAGAGATCAAGACCAGCCTGGCCAACATGGTGAACCCCTGTCTCTACTAAAAATACAAAAATTAGCTGGGTTTGGTGGTGAGTACCTGTAATCCCAGCTACTTGGGAGGCTGAGGCAGGAAAATCGCTTGAACCCAGCAGGCGGAGGTTGCAGTGAACAGAGATCGTGCGACTGCACTCCAGCCTGGGCGACAGAGGGAGACTCCACCTCAAAAAAAAAAGAAAAGAAAGAAAAAAAAATTTACATGTGTGGCTCTTCTATCAATCATTAATCACCCTGTAACTTCAACTGACTACTCATGTAAAAAACACTCAGAGACCTCTATCATCTTCTTTTTTGTTTTTTTAGAAAGGAATCTTACTCTATAATTCAGGCTGGAGTGCAGTGGCACCATCTTGGCTCACCGCAACCTCTGCCTCCCAGGTCCAAGCGATTCTCCTGCTTCAGTTTCCTGAGTAGCTGGGGTTACAGGTGCCCACCACCATGCCAGGCTAATTTTTGTATTTTTAGTAGAGATGGGGGTTTGCCATTTTGGCCAGGCTTGTCTTGAACTTCTGACCTCAGGTTTTCCACCCACCTTGGCCTCCCAAAGTGCTGGGATTACAGGTGTAAGCCACCACATCCAGCCCAGAATTCATGTATTTTAAAATTATACAATATGGAAAAAAAGAGACATGTAGGAATTAGAAAGTATAGGTACCTTTCCACTTGCCAAAACTACTGCTACAGTTTTGTGTATAATCCTTCCATATTTTCTAGATACTATCTTTTAAAATGAAAACGGAACTATACTATGCATTATCTTCTCCAATTTACTTGTTACATTTAAAAGTATATAATGGACATTGACCATATCAGGATATACAGATCAAAATAATTCTTTGTTTGTTTGTTTGTTTTGAGACGGAGTCTTGCACTGTTGCCAGGCTGGAGTGCAGTGGCATGATCTTGGCCCACTGCAACCTCCACCTCCTGGGTTCAAGCAATTCTCCTGCATTAGCTTCCCAAGTAGCTGGGACTATAGGCATGCACCACCACTGCCCAGCTAATTTTTATATTTTTAGTAGAGATAGGTTTCACCATATTGGCCAAGATGGTCTTGATCTCTTGATCTTGTGATCCGCCCGCCTTGGCCTCCCAAAGTGCTGGGATTACAGGTGTGAGCCACTGTGCCCGGCCTTAACTTTTCAATTATGTTCAAAATTTGCTTCAAGTTAGAAGTCTTTTTTTTTTTTTTTTTTTTTTTTTGAGACGGAGTCTCGCTGTGACTCCCGAGGCGTGGAGTGCAGTGGCCGTGATCTCGGCTCACTGCAACTCCGCCTCCCGGGTTCAACGCCATTCTCCGCCTCAGGCCCTCCCAAGTAGCTGAGACGATACAGGCGCCGCCACGGCCCCCGGGGACGCGGGCTAGTTTGTTTGTATTTTTTAGTAAGAAGACGGGTTTCACATGTTAGCCAAGGATAGTCTCGATCTGCCTGACCTCGTGATCCCCGCCCTCGCCGTCGCCAAAGTGCTGGGATTAACAGGCTTGAGCCACCGCGCCCCGCCAAGTTAGAAGTCGTTCTTTTTTTTTTTTTTTTTTCTTTTGAGACGGAGTCTTGCCTGGTGCGCCCAGGCTGGGAGTGCAGTGGGCCGGGATCTCATGTTTTCACTACAAGTTCCGCCTCCCGGTTCACCGCCTTCTCCTGCCCTCAGGCCTCCCGGAGTAGCTGGGGGACTACAGGCTCCCACCACCCCGCCCGGCTAATTTTTGTATTTTTTAGTAGAACCCGGGTTTCAACCCAGGTTACCAGGATGGTCCCTCGATCTCGACCCCTCCGTGATCGCCCGGCTCGGTCTCCAAATGGCTGGATTACAGCTTGAGCCACCGCGCGCCGCCTTTTTTTTTTTTTTTAAGATGGAGTGCTCGCTCTGTTGCCCAGGCTGGAAGTGGCAATGGCCAAATCTTGATCAACGCAAGCTCCCTCCCTCTCCAGGTCACAACCATTCTCTGCCTCGCCTCCCGAGTAGCTGGGACACTTCAGGTGGCCTGCCTACGCCCAGCTAATTTTTTTTTTTTGTTTGTTTGTTTTTTGTTTTTTTTTTGTCATTTTTAAGTAAGATGGGGTTTCCACCGTGTTACCAGGATGTCTCGATCCCCTGGCCTCAATGGATCTTCCCACCCGTTCTCGGCCTCCCCATAATGCTGGGATTCAGGTGTGAGCCACCGCGCCGCCAGAACTCCCATTTTTGTTTGTTCTGAGTACAGAGTCTCACTGTCAACCAGGCTGGAGTGCAGTGTGTGTTCTTGGGCTTGCTGAACCTTGACCTCCGTGGCCTTCCCAGCGATCCTTCCTATGCCTCAGCCTCGCCTGGCAACTGGACTAACAGGCATGTCCCAACCCGCGCTTGGGCAATTTTTATTTTTTGATGAGATACGGTCTTGTTTTGCCCCTCCTGTATGAGACAGGTGCCTGACTTTAGTTGACCCCAGACCTTGTTCCCAACTTGGAAGGTTCAATGGGATGACAGCTCCCAGTAAATGTGTTGATTCAAGGGTTTATGAAACAATAAAGTTTAATCTCTTGCACTAACCCACAAAAGTCAGTCTTATTTTTACATTAAATACCCTTTTGGATCTGCTAAATCAGAACACCTTCATACAAAAATCACTCAATATTTC